CTAAGGTCTCCGCAGATGTAATTAGTTAAAATGAGATCATCCTGGATTAGGGCGAGTCCTTCATCCAGTGATTTATAAGAAGGCCATGTGAAGACAAAGAGACACAGAGAGGAAGCCAATGTGAAGATGTGGTCAGGGACCAGAGTGACACACCTACAAGGAAAGGAACTCCAAGGATTTCCATCTGTCCCACAAACATTCAGGAACACATAACGTTTCTACTTAGGTTTTCTAGTTGCTTTCTTCACGTATCTATGTTATTAATTTCAGCAAGCAGCATATGGACATCAAATTCTTGTGCACGCCCAAACCGGTCATTTAAACACACGATGCACTCTGTGAATGCACACAGTAACACCCAACTGTTGAGAGTAATTTTATCCTGCTGGTTAAGTGCCCAACTTTGGTTGTAGCATTTTGATGATGGGAACTGAAATGCCTTCTCTCCTTCCTTCAACAGAACTTTTACAAAACATCTATAGTGGTCCAGGACACAACACTGAAGCATACATGGTCTCTGCCTTCATGTAGTTGACAGTCTAGTGAAGGAGACAGACCCATAAACAAATGAGGCAACAGGAGGGATGGAAAGCCTTTAACAGAGGCAGGAGTGGCTCCTGGCCAGCAGCATGGGGTGAGAAGAAAGCCCAGGCTTCAAGGCACACAGAGTCCCTAGCTTTGCTGAGAGTTGCTTCCTGGCTAAGAGAGCTGGAGAAGCTCATGAACTCTCTAGGCCTCAGTCTCCTTATCCGAAAAATATGAGTAATACCACCTACATCGTAGAACTACTGTGAAGCTGGAATGAGGGGATGTATGTAAAGCAGAGTGCCTGGTACATAGTAGATGCTCAATAAAGGTATATTCTCTTTCCTCTTTCATTCCCTTGAATAAACTATATGAACTCTAAGAATATAATAACCACAAGAACTACCAGAACAGTAACAACAAAGCCATACATGGTCAATATCATTTATTTTTATACAATAACCTCTATCCTGAGTGCTAACCATTATACACAGCAATTGTTCCCTCTCATCCCAATCAAACTTCCCATAACACATGTATGAGATTAATCTACAAAGAACAGAGATTTTATCACTTGGGGGCCTTGTTCGAGAAATCTTCGGTGACTATGCATTTATCTTGGCAAGACTTTAATAAAAATTTCGGCACCCTAAGAGTTGTGATGAAGAAGAAAAAATATATTTATAAAGATGCGCATCCTTTTTTTTTCCCCATGCCATTCACTTTGCCTGAAATACCTTTCCTTCCTATCTTTAGCTAATCAAATCCTAGCTCACATCCAGTCTCCATGGAGCTGCCCCAGACCATTCTCTCCTACTCTTATCTGACCTCATTGCCTTGCCAACATCACACTCACTGGGGTGCTCCTACTTTCGCTGTTATTTTTTTTACTATGCGTCAGGTATTTCATAACTTCATTTTTCATTTTGCCCCAACTGAACAAGTTCTTTGAGACCAGGAGCCACATGTTAGAATGGAGCCTAATCTTCACACAGTTGATATTTATATATTTGTTGGTTGGCTAGAATATATGACTCATTATGACAGAAAAATCTCAAGTCCTGCTTCAGTATGAATAGCAGTTAGCACAATCTGACTTCTGTCAACATTGAAAGAGAAGGCATTTCTGAAAACTCAAACTCAGGATGAATTAAATTATTGGCATACCTTCTCCCCATATGGAAGTTAATTCCATTGTGAAAAACATTTTGAATAGCAAAAGAACTGTACCAATAAACTAATTCAGAATTTAAGCAGGTACTTATTACAACCAGCTATATTAGTAATAATAGTGTTTATACTTTAGTCAACAACTTATTTAACAAATTATTCACTGAGTCCCTAATATGCACAAGGTACCACACTAAGATCCACTGAGAGAGGACATGAATAAAAGGTTGGCCAGTTCCTTAATACTCAACAATTTAACGGAGGAGACAGACTTGAAAACTTTTTACAAAACAGGTTAAATAAGCAATGTGATATAACTAACCTACTGAGTACTGTGTGTGATTAATTTTAGTTTCACTTGAGAGGTCTCAGGACCCACCTGTAGAAAGGAAGGAAGGAAGGAAGGAAGGAAAAGAGAGAGAGAGAGAGAGAATGAAAAGATAACACGTGAACAAGACCTTGAGAGATGGTCGGGACTGTAGACCAAGATGGCAGAAGTGGGTTCTGGGCTACACGATCAGAAAGAACAAAAGTTATAGACATGAAAATATACCACCTTCCTTTTTGCTTCTCTCAGTAGGTGATCCAACTTGCTCCTTCATGAGAAAAATGAAAGGTCATTCCTCCCTTACATCTCAATACTGTCCCTTTCTTTCCCTACCTTAAAAATGGAAAGTCTCCCCATTCTTTCCCAAAGCTAAATTCTTGACATCGTTCTGGACCCTCTTGCTTCTCATCTACTATCATATCTCGTTCTAGCACTCACCCTCTCTCTCTCCACTTCCTTCTGCGGCCAAACTTCTGAAAGAGTGGCCTGCACTTGTTACCTCTACTTCATCTTTAATACAGAACTCAGTTACACAAGGTTAACTGCCTCTTAAATCTCCTTTATTCAGTAAAATAAAGTGAAATAAGGATTTACTTTCCAATTTCCTCCTTTCTGTGTTTCAAAATAAGTTAACCAATAGTATTTCTTCCAAAATGTATTTGCTATATTCAAGGAGCAGAAAACTTATAGTCTCTGGAAAGGATTTCTCACGTCCAGAAAGTAAACTATTAAACAGCTGAGACTCTGTATAAGCATTTTCAGTAAAGAACCGGTTATTGTTGTAGTGATCAATGAGAATTCTGAACCTTAAACACCCTGTTCTTTCACTGTATCGTTCCCTAACACAGAGCTCTTTACAATTCTTCAGATGAGAATAGGTAGATTATACAACTCATCTTCCTCAGCAACGCAGAAGAAATACTTTTAAGGAAATGATTTTATACAAGCCAGGTCCTTAATCTTTTTTAGAAGATCGGGTGAGGTAAGATTTGGTATCTCAACACCGAGCTGACACACCTAGAGAATCATTTTAGCCCCGTTCCTGATTTAAGTTCTGATTCTCTGGCAGTTTCATTTACTAAAGGAATAATGGCTAAGACAGCCTCTCTTCTTATTTACAATAAATAGCCAGAACTCTCCATAACTTAGTTCGCTCTCAACTTGCCTTCAAAGCCAAATTTATTGGTACCCACTAACCCCTTATACTGATTTCAAAAATACAAAGAATCACCTATATGCTATACACACGTAAGGCTTTTCACGGACAGTGAGTGTTACACATACTACTGCACGAACTGCTGGGCAATAAATGGATCTCAGCTCATTTTTTCAGATTTTCCTTTGTGGTGAAACTTCAGTTCATTGAACAATCCAGTTATCTCCCCTTATCTTTTAAAAACAAGTTTGTCGTACATACACCCCACTTATTAAAAATGGCTTTTGCCTTAAAGAAGACAAAGGTCTGTATCATGATCTTCTCTTCTGTCCTCCTAAGGCGCAGGTTTTACAGATCTACAGTGCATTAGATCTTATAGGGCTTCCATAAATATTTGTCAGGGGACTGATTTATATGTAACAATATTGTTAAAAATTTCCATAAAGATCACCAAACAAGTGTTTTGACTAAAGATCAAATAGCAAATGTCAGGCCCACCTCTTCAGACCCCTCAGGGGGGTTGGGTAAAGACTAGAAATGGAGACCCACATTCCATGTGCCTAAATACGTCAAAGTTATAAATCAAGTTAAACTATTAAATATGGTCTCTTCCTCCAATCTTGACAAATATATCTTCAACCACATGGAGGCACAGGTACAAAGTTAGAATTTTTAGACCTCCTGAAGGTCCACACCATAGTGTGGTAACACAGGAGGGCCAGCCGACACCCCCTTTCCCATTCCCAGCTCTATCAAAACCTTGAGGGGCCTTGCCCACACGTGTGGACACCTACTCACCTCAAACCATTGCCCCTGGGGCACCCTTCAGGCTAAGGGTACATTTATTAGTTTTATCCTCCTCTGGATGGACCCAGGGAAAAGGCCCATGCAGGCCCTAGAAGCAGGCCCTAAGCTGTCCGGGAGCAGGAAATTCCAGAGTCAGGTACCCAGAGCATGGGGGTGGGCAGAGTGAGGGCTTAGGCTGGGCACATGCCCCTGGCCCCTCAGATCCCTCATCCTGTGGGGAGGTGTGGCCAGAGGAGGGTCCTCTAATTCCTAGGTCCCAAAGCAAGGTCTCTAAAGGCAATACTGGACAATATACCAAAATGGAGAATTTACCAGGTCAGCTGTCTTACTAGTTAATATATTAGTTGAAAATTAATATGCAAAACCATGATTAAGTAGTAAAACCTGAAATTCCAGTCTCTGATCACTTCAGTTCCTTCGAGATCTATAACCGAAGGGTCTACTATTTATCTGGATCTACCCGACAGGCTAAATCTAGATTCTCTGCTTTCTTAACAAATTTGTACAAATTGACAGAATTCTATTCACCTGCTAGAGGGCGTTAAGAAGACAGCAAAGAGCAGAAAGAGGAAGGAGAACAACGTCAAGTATCAAAGACAAGATCAGACACGCAGGTCCAAGACAGCCATTTCCCTTGTGTTCTGTCACTTGCGTGGGGAATCGTGTGACACCACGATTAACCATCTGATCAAAGTCACTAGTATCACAGCTTGCTCTCGCCAACCCGCAGATCATGTAGTTCACTCTGTGGCCTGGTAATGCCCCTACTATTCTAGCTGCTGTGAACGTGTAAGACAAGCTGAATCTCGTCAGCATTTAAGCTGAGACTGATGATAGCTCTCCCTGCACCTCACCAAAATTTGCTGCACTGCAATTTCCACTTAACTTAGCAAGAAAATTAATTTGTTAATTTGAAAAAAAAAAACTAATAAATAATTCTCATCACAATACACATATACATACTCCACAGGAAGGGAAGTATTTCAACTGAAAATCTTATTTATGTGTACTTACTGAGATTGTACCATTGTCTAGACCTATGGACAGTCTTCTTGTTTCCGGGTTAAAAGACATGCATGAACATGGAGCTGAAAGAAATGAACATGTTGATGAAATTAACAAAACGATGATTCTCATGGATTCAGGAGTGACTAGCTCAAAGTGTATGACTATTTTTTTCCCACAATTTCTTGACAAACAGTTCATTTAACTCCCACTCACCAAAAAAGAAAAACAGTAATTTTACAACTAACCCCTAGTATCTCAGTTATCCTTTTAATGAATATAACAAATAAGATATTCTCAAACTGGACAAGTTACAAGGGGCGTGGTCTCGGCTGTTCTGTCAGTATCAAGTCTAAATTTGCTTTGACTAGATTAACAATATTTTGTGCTGCATAAGCCTTCTGTCACCAACCTATCTCTTCCAAGCAAACCCTATCTTTAATGGAAATAACAAATTTTTTCTGAACTAAGGAAATGAAAGAAAGCTCTTATTACCCCCTCGCCCCCCGCCCCACCAAGTACAGAAATCTATTTTTTTATTCAGAACTGATTTGGGGCATGTGAACTAACAGAAGTCTTTTACTCTCAGTACTCAAGGCATATGCTGGAGGCTGCCAATTGGAAAAAGACGGAGGCTTTGTCTCAATCTAAAAGAGAACTAACTCGACACAGGGCCAGGCTCCAGAGGAAAGAAATCAGGTGAGTCAGTGTCTCCCAGTTCTGCAGGACTGACTTCCTGAGTACCACCAAGCCTGAGTAAACGAAATGTGCTTGGAAGCCACGAGGGGCCAAGTCAGCTTCCGGTTACCAGCTTTCTCTGTCTATGCTGTTCATCAGAGTGGGGGCCTTTCGACAACGTATTCTATACTGAAATAGTGTTCTAAAGGCCACAACATAACTTTGAAATTTCTCCCCGCATCTTCACGGTAGCGCTGTAGGTCATGAACTACCCATCATCAAAATCATAATCAGCATCAAATGTTTTTATTCTTACTTTTCAGTTATGATTAGATGTCTTACCCAAGGTCATACAGGAAAAAAAAGCTGGAGGAGGTTCAAAGACATAATTCAAACACACAGTCCTATATTCAAATACCCAACTTAGGTCATCTTTAAACTATAAAAGAACTTCAAGTTCTACTAACAGAGCCACTTGATAAACACATCACTTGGTAACATTTTTTTGATTCTCTATAAAAGGCCGCTGAACAACCACAACTACAAAATCTTCTAAACTGCATAAAGTACTTACTTTTTTCTAATTTTCAAACATGATATATTTAGAAAATAGAAATACGTAAAAAATAATCGCCCCCCCACTCCACTGCAAACTTCCACCAGTACAGCAGAATATCTTCTTCTGGTTTAGCCACAAATTTAAACTAGGTTCCCAAAAGAACACTGCTGGAAAAAAAGCAATCAAACGATATTTAATGCACTGCCCTAAGAAAGCCAGTCTTACTTGCCTTTGGCCTATAAACTATGTTGGCAAAATCTCTACACAGATGCTAAGACACCAGGTCTCATAATCCCATAACATGTGTGAAGGATTAAAATTTAATGATTTCATGGAAAACTATCATGTTAGCAGAAAAAAGCAAAAGAAAAAAATACACTGATTACGGTACTACATAAAGTACATACACACATAAAAATATACCTGGAAAAACTAAACACAGTTCTTGTGTTTGAGATTATTCCTATAACATTGTCTTCACTTATTATTTTGCTATGCCTGTTAAAAAATTTAAATATCTAACAATTTAAGATATAAGCATGAGTGTATGAAGCAAAACTTGACTGCAGCCCAAATGGCTACACATAGTCGAGAAAAATCTTATCACTTAGCTGTCTGCCTGGCCACATAAAAGTATTTGCTATATGATTTACTCCAAAGTTCCCATCTGGTTATATAATAATTAGAAAACCCACTGATCTTTGAATGTGATTTAAAAGACTTTTTTACAGTACTGCACAGGCTACCCTTAAATCATCATTGCTATTTCTTTATTCCTTATTTTTCCCCCATTTACTAAATTTCTTGTTATTCTTCAACAAAAATTTAGAATGCTTACTATGTTCAAGACATGTGATGCAATGATATATAAGGTACTATAGCTGCCATCAGGAATTTATAGATTGTGACACCAACTATATATAGGACCTATAATATAAAACTTGTCCCCAATGTCACCTCCTTAGTCCACATCACTTTATACTGATAGTAAGAAACGCCACCAGAATTCAAAAGGAAAGACTTTTCCTATAAAGGACCATAAACAAAAGAAGTTTTAACAGAAATTCTGTTGTTGCAGAACCCGTATGCTTGAACCCAGATGGTTATAGACAGGGGATTGCCAGAGACAGACAGCATTACCTCCCAGGTGCCCCCAAAGGTACAAACATGCCTTCAAAGAGGCATTGTGGTGAAACCCCAAGCAACCCTGTGTGTGTGCATGCGTGTGTGTGTGTGCGTGTGTAAAGACTTTTGGTAGGTGAGTCTTATGATGGTCCTCAAACCACTTCCCAACTGTGACACTCCCATAGGAAGAGGCCTTGCATTGGTTACCCAAAGGCCCCGCAAGGCCAAGGAGGAAAGAAACGAACTGAAAGAAATACTAATGCCCACATTTGTTGTTATAGTAAATGTCTTTCCTTTGGGATGTTGGGGGAGTAGATAAATTGACACAGAGATCCTTCTAACTTCACCTCACTGGAAATTAATGAAAAAAGCAACCTCTGAAAGACCAGTGCTATGGCCCATACAAAATAAGCGCCTATCCATCCATGCAAGAAAATATCAAAGGGCAAAACTGTCTGGCAAAGCATAATAAGACACAGGAAAGTCATGGTAATTATGACCAAATGGTAAAGGGAATCCTTTGGAAGGAAGAATAAGGTTGGAAACAAACAAAATATGATTTAAACACAATATTTATAGCCAGGTTGCAAAGATGTGATGTTTCCCAAAGAAGAATTCAGCTTTAAATGCTATAACGCTAATAATTTGTTAGTCAAAGAAGAAATAATTGGGTGTCTCTGATGGCTCAAAGTTCAGGTCAGAGATGAACTTGGCTGAGAGGCTGTTCTATCCTCCCACCTTAAAACTGCATTCTCCACAAGCCGAGCACAATGGCCAACCAGGACTACAAAATTACAATGCAGCTCCCCTCTACGGACTCCTCTATCAAAACTGCATCCCAAAACTCTAGATGAAATACATTTCATCTAGAAATGAGAGAAGATTCTCATTTTCCAAGCTATCTAATCGAGATTTGCCATCTCCGTTCTGTCTCAGACTGATGACAATCAAAAGACGTGTACTTGGCAAAATTTTAGGAAGCAAGATCATGAAAAGTACAAATACAATAGGAAAGAAATTTGTAGGGGTCTGTGGGTAATGGGAAATAATATTCTCTTACACTAGTGTCAGGACTTTAGACCTTGATGGCCTGTCAAAATCTTACCTTTAAAATTATACACTTTCATAATACTGAGTGTTTCTTAAAAATGAAATATTTCTAGTTTCAGGCAGGTTTTCAGCTTAAAATTTAGGGAGGGTGAAAATAAAGAGAAACACCAGTCTGGGTGATTATATTAATGACTATATAATTTGAAGGGGGAAAAGCTCAGGATATGAGCCCTAGGCAAAAATGAGCTCCTGAAACCAACATCAACTTCAAAAGAGCGAAAATTAAGTGGATTAGAGAGAAACTGGCTACTTGTATTTCTAACACTTTTTTTTCCTTGCGTTATGCGGGCCTCTCACTGTTGTGGCCTCTCCCATTCGCGGAGCACAGGCTCCGGACGCGCAGGCTCAGCGGCCACGGCTCACGGGCCCAGCCGCTCCGCGGCATGTGGGATCCTCCCGAAACGGGGCACGAACCCGCGTCTCCTGCAACGGCAGGCGGACTCTCAAGCACTGCGCCACCAGGGAAGCCCTCTAACACTTTTTTTTTTTTGCGTGCGTGTGTGTGGTACGCGGGCCTCTCACTGTTGCGGCCTCTCCCGTTGCGGAGCACAGGCTCCGGACGCGCAGGCTCAGCGGCCATGGCTCACGGGCC